ACTGACCTTTGAACCCGAGCTTCGATATGTCTGCCTAAAGATCTCATTATGTTTACCGAAGGAAAACATATTTTCTGTGGTAGTGCTACCCATTGATGTAAGGAAAGTAACCAATGCCATCCTGTTTGTAAAAAAAGAGTACACGTTTAGTCTCTCGGAGATTTTATTTCCCCTAAGTTGTAACCTCTTGATTTCTACTCGGTTTTTGTTTGAACGGATTTAAGGTTTCATGAAATCCATGCCTGTACATGAATGTGGTGATCAGGTCACCCCATACAGTCTCCTGTAGACAAGTTTAGGAAGCTTAAGAGACCAAAGTCTGTTCTTGTACGATATTTTAAAAGTTCTTTTACCAAGAGACTTGCTTCGTTGCCCTTTTCTGGACTTGTTATAGCTCGAACACTGGTAGTGTTCTGTTTGCACAGTTAGAGGAACTCCATATTCTAGGTGCTGTCTCACCTGCATTATTGTAATGCACGAAAGAACCTAAACAATACACGGTGCGTAAATAGGCTATTACAGAAGGGTTTCCCCACCAATCATTATTGTCAAAGGTCGTCATCAAAGTCCTGATAATTAATCACCCCCACCCCCGACCTTTCGGCCGTTGACGTCCTTACAATAAAAGGAAGGCTCTTACGTTATCTAAAGAGATACGCCTCAGGACATACGGTACACAATTACATACCCCATTCATCCAACTTTGCGGATCAGCACACCTCTTTGGCTATGCCTACGGCGGTATACATTCCTGTTTTAGAAGTTTTTTTTTTTCGTTTTCATCATAGCCCCTTTCATTCTAAGCCGATTCCACTTGCTGTGATTTGAAATACTGTGAAATACTAGAAAGGCATGTACATTGTTACACCGTGACGTAGTATTGAAAAATGATTAAATTTTCGACTCGCATCCGTCACTTTTGCGGTAAGGTTCGTCCCGCTAGAATCTCAGTTCAACATTTTTACGTTTCTGTGGAAGTTAATCCAGTTAAACTGAAATATTACCGGAGAAAGTCGAGGATAATCTTTGAAAGAACAGAAGTTACGTACGAACGCCCCCCTCCCCCAATTGGCGATTTACGTACGACGATATCTAATTCTAAGGCCAAATTCGACTTGCGATCGTGAAATTTCCGGAACAACCGCCAAAATTTCGCTAAATGTTGAACCACAAGGATGTCTATCTGTTATTTTCTACATCCCCATTACAGGTTTTGTTACGAATGAAGTCAGTATATATTTACGTATTTTTTTCATGCGAGCGTAGCTAGCGTATAACGTACATTATGAGTTCGGTCAAGAAATTCGGAAAATGAGGGGGGGGGGGAGTTTGTAATTTTTACCGGCTGAAATTAAACAAAAAAATGCTCATAACAACCTTATCTATTCGTAACACGTATAAATATTTCGACCTTTCACCGTAAAAGAGCGTAATTTACCGAAGACGCAGCACCGCTCGATGCCCCAATGGAACCTATTGTGGAAGCCAGCTGAGTATACG